TTAAGCCTCGATATTACTGAATACTAGTTTCACTTTTTATGAAATTCGTGACTCCTGTTACAGGAACTGATGATTCACTACTTCCCGGTATTCTGTCACACACAGATTATAGTGCACTGCGTTTGAGAAAATATTTCCAGATTATTTGTTTAATTATTATTTTATTTTTGATAGTTCGTCATACTAATAATATTTACGAGTTCGGGAGAAAAAAATTGATTTTCCAAATTTTAATGAAAAATGACCTGCACTTTTAGATAATTAGCTAGGGCCGCTTAGCATGTACATAAGTATCTCAGAATGTAATTCTTGCTGCTTTATGCTCGTGAAAGAATGATAAAGAAACTTTCTGTCAGCTTTCTCTTCATGTGCGCATCTTCAGGAGAAACCAAACGGAATTCTCTATCGGAAGTAAAAGACGAATGTTTGGGTTAGTCCTTTCTTTTGATCGCACGCATCCAGTTCTCATCCATTTTTTTCTGGTGGTTCGTAACACTTGGCGGAGCGTTCTTCTCTAATTTCCAAAACATCTCAAGATTGACAGACGATTACTCTTTCGGGAGAAATGATCAGGTATCACGTGGCTTAACTTCACCATACCCCGAGAGAGCTGTGGTTTGGAGAAAAGGTTCTCCAACATTTAAGTTTTGCAATCTCCTTTTATGAACAATTAATTTGAATTAAGTCTTCTCGAAATCGTGAAACTCTCTGAGGCAAATTGAAACGAGTCGAATAATCTAAAAATACAATAAAAATAACAAAAGCGTATTGAAATTTCTATTATTACAATGTTTCATCTATTTTCATCCAACTGCAGGAAGGAAGGAAGTTTGATGTTTTTACCCTAGACTTAGTGACTTTCTTCTTTCTCTCATAACTAATCAACCGAATTTGATGATCGAATAAACACTTCTATTTTCAGCTTGGAACTATGTTAGTTTAGGTTCCTTTTCGATACCTTATCAGTTTATCCAACTCCTATCGGAGTAGTAACTAGCGACACCTAATAACTTCCAACGGCGGTCTGCAATCAATGCCATACGACGGAGTCAAGTCCAGTCACTCCCCCAAGCCTCACGTCCAATATGTGCGTAGGCCCATCTCGGCTGGATGCCCGAGGTAGTCGGTAGGTCTGATACGCTGTGAGTTTGTTATTCGTAAATAGCGGGACAGCTCCTAATTGCGCCATTGACAGCGTCCCAGAACTAGCACATTTCATTTTTTAACAATACTGGATTAAATGGATAAATTTACTTAAAGATTAGATTGAGGTATACTTACACGATAAAATATTCAAAGGTTTAACGCCTTTGATTTGATTCTTGGTTATTATTTAGGAAACTAAGTTAATAAGCAGTGGATGCTTTTTGTTACTCTGTTGAAAATATCCTCAAACAATTTACAGTTTAAGGCCTGAAAGTACGTAAGATGTAAAGATGCCTTGCTTGTGAATGGGTAATAACTTGTATTGTGTTTGTTTACTCTTGTTATATTATAAGAAGCAAGTCCATCAAAAACACCGGAATAATCGTAGCAACTGGAGCACGTTGTAATATCACAATCACACATTAGATTCGCTAATAAAACCGGAACTCCAGTGAAGAGAAGGGGTTTTTGAAATGACTGATTGAACATCCTCAGCTACTACAGAGAATTTCTTAAGTTACTCGTAATTGAGTCTTATGTGAATCGATACTGTCGTTGTACGCTTCCCATAGATTCTGTAGCCTTAGTTACCAGAGAAGAACTCATCTTCTGAAAGTGTTTTTTCATAAGTGGCTTGCACATCAGTAGAATACATGATGCTTATACGACGATAATTATAAGCAAACCTTCTGAATCTTGAAGCCCTCAATTGTGTGAGAATTGTTATGCAGTCTCTGGGATTTCATTAAGTTCTCTGCGGCTTGAGATTTGAGATGCATATTTAATTGCTCAAAATGATGTATGATTTTTGTTCTAATCCAAATGATTTGACACCCTGATTCTAACACAAATCAATCGATGTCGATTTTTCAGGTTGTATTTTTGCATTACCTTTTTACGAGGATTATTGCAACTATATTCGCAATAACCCTTGTGGAGTAAGAACGATTGAAAAATGTCTTATCGCTTTCGTATACACTGGAGATAAATAAATATCGTTTTACGTAATGCATTTTGCTGTACTGTCTTTCCTTGTTCCACGGTTATCGCTTATACCACTTGCTATCATTAGATAAAACGTATGGTAACAAAATGTTCAAAGGATAGTGAATGAAGTATCAAGCAATTTTATTTTCCAATTTTCTATGAAATACTCTTATTTCTTCCAACCTCTTACATTTATTATTCGGAAGGTATGGAAAAATAACGTTTTATATGTTGATTTTAGGAAATTATTTTCAACATCGTACATTATAGAAGATTGTTTCTCTCTCAGTAGCATCAAACTCATTGAATTCCACAAAATGTCTGCCGGAACCATCGAAAATCTTCAGTTAATATTGTTATACTGACCTGTCGCTAACGCATTAAGTTCTTTTTCTGATCACTAAAGAGTGCTAATTTATTTTTTCAACATCTTTAGCATTGAAACGTATTTCGTAGAGCGGCTTGTTGTGAATCGTTTCGAAATAGAAAACCTTTTGTTTTAAAAAATGCGATGAGACTGGTCGCCTCCAAAACACGAAAGAAATGGGATTTATCATGCTTATAAAATACATTTTATAAATAAGAAGATGGTGATTAATAATAATTTTATAGTCTTTTTCTCTATATCCCCCTCCATTAGGGATGTCCCCGAGTGATGTTACGCTGTAATTGACATTTTAAGGTTCGAATAAACAAAATTTTGGAGGTTACTCTGTACCAAAGCATTGAACTTTGGCACACGATTTGTATGTTATATTTTATATTCCAAGGGCTATGAGCGAATTCTAATGAAAATAATCAAGTTGCCTCAACCAAGTATCTGCAGATATAATTAAGAACAACCGAGTGTATTCAGTCATTTTTTGAATTCTTCTCCCTTATATTTAGGCTTGTCCTCGTTTCCCAATTGTGAATCATAAATCTGGATACTCCTCCGAGAGTGAAACCCAGAAACACTCTAAGATGAGCGTGCTAGTGATTATAATAAGCAGGAAGCCTCTAGAAGGTAAGCGACAACAAAAGCAAAAAATAGGAAATTGTCGACATTTAGCCATTTTTCCCCACCTCTCCAACGTGCATTCGTTCCTATTGATTGATTGTTTGATTGATTGATAGATTAGTGATTCCGGGCGCGTCAACAACTGCTAAGGTAATTCGTCCAGTAAGTGGAATGCACGCTTTCCATCGGGAGGTGGCGGCGTGGGCAAGCGGCCTAAGCTCCGGCCGGTCTCCCAGCCAGTGGTAGTGTAGTACCTGTAAATGTGTATAGAGAGATGATAGGACTAGGAAGGATAAGGAAAGATCGCTCACGGTCCGTGGCCGGTTTGTAAAAGCGCTGCTTCGGCATTCGCCTGTTACTGATCGAAAAAAAAAACCACTGAAAACTACCGATCAGAGCAGCCGGCGGCTAGAATTCTCCCCCAGAGATCGACCTAAGTGACAAGCTAGTGTCGAAAACCCTGCCACCGTCGGGTCTCGAACATATAACCTCCCGGTCGAGTCGCTTCAGTGACGTTCGTTCTTCTAGCTGGTGCATTTCTCATAAGGTGCGAATTGACGGATGATGCCAGGGTTCGTTCCCCTTTGGAGAATAGTGTTCCTGCTGGAAAAGTATTGTTTCCTTGCCAGGGATACTGTTATAATCCACGTTATGCGCCGTTGTATGTATGATATTGTAACGTCGACCGCTGGACCCCACATGTCGGTAGGCCAGCAAGGGAGCGAGGGCAGTCCTTTTGCTGCAGGCGGAATTCCACGAAAGCCGCGGCGTCTCCGAGGGGCCGGGATAGATGTCTCTCGGAACGCGACTGTCAACTGCCGTAGAGGGAGCTGATGGGTTAGAACAGCCGCTGGGCAGCTGGGTTCCAAATTGCAATCAGGCCCAGGGTTCGGTAATGAGATGACGTCACCGGTATGTGAGGTCTGTCACGTGATCCCTCGCGAGGCGGCTGGAGAGAGGAAACAGCCGGTGGCATTCGAGGTTGAACCGAATCGCGGTGCGGAAGATACTTCGCACCCGCCAAGGGTTATCGCTAGCTTCTGCTGCGGGGTGTGGCTGTTCGCCACGGGACGGGACTAGGAGCGGCGCTAAGATAGCCGGTAGGGTCTGTATCAGGCTGAGGCGGCTATGTCTCAGGGATGTGCAGTGTTAAGAGTGCAGCGCTAGTTCCTCAGGGGTGTAATTATTGTATAGAAAACTTTATAAATAAATCTCTACATAACAACTCCCGAGTCTGCGTTTCACTCGCACCCGACAACGTCACAATATCCACAGTCAGAAAAATTGAAGTCAACGAATTTAATTGAAGAAAGTTTGAAAGAAAACTTTCCTGAAAACGTTCTTTGGATTAGTTCAGATTGTGTTGCGCAAGTGACGATGGTTCATTAATGAGCCCTTCGAATCGTCCCCTCCTGACTTTCAATGAATCCCCTATCGAGAAACTTGCCTGTCCGCACCCTGAATTCTCATACTCTCCCTCTTTCCATCCATAAATTCCCCTGAGTGAAAGGCTGTCTGGATGAAGATCGGACCAACAGGAGAGAGACTGGTTCGGGCGAAGTGTGTTCCCGGATCGGTGTCTGTCCAAGGGCTCGGTGTCATCCGTCATGTGTGCTCGCCGCTTCAGGTTTGGAGCTGTCATCGCCTCGTCTGGGACCCGAGGGCTCGTGTCCGAGTTTCTCTGGATGGGCGGGTCGCTAGGCCAGAGAAAGGTCGCGCCCGCATGGCGACACATTTGTTTGCCTTCCACTTTCCCGTGTTTCCCCTTTGCAACCGAGCGGAAATTAATGCTCTTAGTTAAGGCGAAGGTAAAGGTGAAGGTACTCTCGTGCAATTGCACTTAGGCCGATATTGCCCAAGGTTCTGAATGTGGGGCTTTCAGGTAAGGAAGCCAGCACCCTCGCAATGAGCCACCGCGGATCCTCTACTCGAAGCCAGCTATTTAAATTAAGAAGAAAGATGTTTTAAAAGTGTATACAATTTCCTCATTATACTTTAGCGCCAATGTTTTCACACTTAGATCCCACTGTTCTTGAGATCTCTTTCAAGACAATCAATAAGTAATTGTTAACTAATGTACGTGAAAAACAATTGATATAACAATCTATAAAGTGGATACAAATAGTGTATTTCGTCTAATTTTCGGTGACGATTTCCAAAAATTAAACGGAAGAAAATTCTACATTTAAAATAATGGATACCATACGATATATAGGAAAATATAGTTTAAATAGACCTTAAGATTTTTTTTCTTCTGAATAACCGGTTAGATCTCTTTGCAGAAACATAAGAGAATAGAGGAACCTAAATGATAGTATTAAAGGAAACTATAACTGAAATATTAAGAGTGCTTTTCGTTTAGTTTGTTAGATTTTTAGTTTCTTAGATTTTTAGTTTCTTAGCTGCGCGAATCCCCGTGGGTCGGAGTACTACCGGTGACCCAGATGAACAATGATTCAGCATTCGCTGTCCCACCGAAGTCCGACAGCGTGACCGCTACTCTACCGGCGCTCTTTGCCGAAATTCGGACGAGCTCCCACGCAGCCGTTCTGCTAGTCAGCGTCGGGTGCTGGCTCTACTCGCGGCATCGTGTCCGCTCTATTGCCGTCAGTGGCGCAGCTTTGTGTAGTGTAGATCGGGGCGTTCCTGGTGCTTGATACATTGGAAACTAGTGGGGCTACGACAGTATGGTATTTCTTGCATTATTCGTAACTGTTACGGAATATTATAACTCTACTTGATCATACATTTGTGTAATATTTTAAAAAATGACTGTTTAGATAGAAATAAAGTTTTTTGTCATGTTATTCAATATATTTAGTTCCATTTATCTCAAAAAATGTTTAAATAAAAAAATTCGACTTGTTTTTGAGAAAATCTTGATTTTAAATTTTTCTTAATTTCACGCAAAATTATGTGAAAACTATTCACAGTTTGAAAAAGATGTTAAAGATCTTATTTAAACACCGAAAAATGTTTAAAATTTTGTAATTTTCGAAAATTCAGAGAATTCAACGAAAATCTGATTTGTGCCATTTTTATTACTGTACTTTGCTCTATCTGAAAAAAATGGAAAGAAAAGTTAAAGAAAAAAGTTTTAAAATGTCGATGTTGCTTGATGTAAAGTAAACTATCAATGTCGGTGCTTTCGGATGTAAACTTTAAATAGGGATCACGAGATGAATTTACATAATAGATAGATTGATTGATTGATTGTGGTTTTGGGCTCTTGAAGTGCTGAGATCATTGATACCGAGTAATGCGAGTAGGAGGGTAAGATCGCGCGCGCTCTATAGCTAATTGTTTAAAATGTTACTTCATGCCTGGAAAAGATCAAGGACACATCGCAATACAGCAGTAGGCCTTCGAATTCGATTCTAGCTTGATGGTAACACGAGCTCGCTCTTATTAAACTCAATTAACAAATTCCTGGCGTCATGCCGTGATTGAACCTGCAACCCCTAATCAGCGGAATGCGTGATAGTGAGGTGTTTTCGCCATGGAGAAAATCTATTTATAAATAAAGGGAACTATTTATATAAATCCAGATATAAATAAAGGTACGTGTGTTTGTCGCATACACACGCAAAAACTACTCGACCAAATTTTCTTAATTTTTCACACTTCGTTCTTATTAGTATCGAGCGTATTCAAAGTAGGAATTAAGTAGGAATGTGAGGCGTAGTTTTTGAAAAGTTAATCCATGAGGGGAGTTCTACGCCGTTTCCAAAGGACCGTGCTTGGAGTGCAATCTACGGATATGTTTTTGAACTACACGCCTCGCTTCGACTCGTAATATCGAATAACATAGACGTTTCGATGTAGAAGCCGGAATCCTGAACCAAATGCTGACGGTGCACAACATTATTCGCATATATTATTTTTAAATTGTAGTTTATTATATTAAAATGTAAATCATACGTAGTTAAAGTGTAGTTATACGTTACCTAGTTCAAGTGTAGTTAATACATATCACAGAAAAAAAGAGAACCTTTGGAATATTATATCCATCATACTGTAACAAGGGAACTTGTTACAGTATCATGGATCTGGTATACTCCAACGGTTCTTTTTTTCGGTGATAGTTTATCTTCATTGAATAAATTGATTTTGAACTTGAATAAAATAGCGAAGGATTACATGGTCGGCTGGTATAATAAGAGACATTGGCGAAGAGAAAGATAAAGCGCTTCTATCGTGCGCTTTTAAAATGTATTTTGTTGCTGAAATTTGTGTAAAGTCTCTGTCTGCAAACTGTTTTCGCACAAATGCAAAAAAATATGAAATATGACAAAAAGGGCTCATTTTTTGAAGAAAAAATTAATACACCAAAACATTCCTCTGTTCGCAGATATGGTATGTTTCCAAAGATAATATTATTTTGTACTATAAGGACTTAATTGTGACGCCAAAGAAATAGTGAAGTATTTCCCTAAAATATTTTGTTTTTCCTTTTTTGTTGTTGTTAATATTTGCAACTAAACATTTTATCCTATTAAATTAAATATTCTTTGACAATCAGTGCTAGACATACAAGCGCTTCGGAACGTCGAAGCTTACTCTAACTGGCGTCTGTTCTTGTATCATGAGATCCACTTGTCAACTTGTGAATTGTAAGAACATAGATAACTTATCTCGCTAATTTGGTTTATCTTAGGCGCTTAAATTCCAAACTTGGGATCGGTTCCTTCTTTCAGAACTTTCTGTAGTTTTCTAAGTCGATTTGTATATTTATTCCTCTAGTCACATTAGGTAAGTGTTCTTTCTTTCGTTCTTTCTTTCTTTCTCTCTCTTTCTTTTCTCTCTCTTTCTTTCTTTTTTTCTCTCTTCCTTCTTCCCTCCTAATAAACTCTTACAATCACGGATGACTAAATCACCCTACACATCATTATTATCCAGACTGTCAGTACTTCTTTTAAATGTCCATTGATGTAACTACAGATTAATTACACAAATATTGGTCAATGGGAAATGAAATGCCTCATGAATCAATGGAATATTCTGAATACTAACTTGAGAAAATGTGACTATTCAATGTAAAAGTATTGATGAACAAAATCTTCCCCTCGCAAATTGTTACTTTTAACCGACATTTCATCAATCACCATCCATTCTCATTTTCCGCCACCATCACTGCGAGAGGAATAATTTGATATCTACTCTACCCATCACGCTCGCATGTTGAATAAATAGTAATCCGGAGAGATAAGGACGTCAATCTCGCGGTGTGGGATATCACGTTGCCATCTGCTGAACACGCGGCACGTGCGTGTGGCATTGTCTGGTGTTGCATGTAGCACCTTGGAGGCTGTGTAACCCAATCAGAGCAGTCTGTTTTCCTCGGGTGAGGAATGGCGATCACCAACGTCTTTCTTATGCGGGTGCTGAGGACCAATGGCCAAGCTAGAAAAAATAAATTTAAAAAAACAATGTCCCTTTCAGTCTTAAGTTGTGAAACTGACAATAGACGGCTCGTGCAAGGCTGTACGTGTCAAAGAAAACTTAGGAACATGTGAAATCAATGTTATTTTCCTTGTTGTGACCACCCAAACAAGGGCTTACAATTGTTCTCTGTCACATTGAATCTGAAAGTGTTATACTCCAGATGTTTCACTTTTGACAATTGTTAGCGTTGTGGCTAAATAAGAAGTTCTATACTTAAAAATAGCAAATTTATTACTAGGGTATTGAATCTTCTTAAAGTGAACGGCAGTTAACACAGATCATAAGGGACCGAAATAATCGGATGTTCGTGATATGAACATTCATGTTATGCGATTTTATTGTGTATATATATATATATATATATATATATATATATATATATATAAAATGCACCCACGCACCCACATATAAATAAGTATAAATGGATAAGTTCGCGTAGCTATTAAAAGAAAGACAAACACATGCGCTGCTAGAGCTGCATATGTTCGCTTTTTCTGTCGGAGCAAATGCTAGAATTGTGATGAAACACACGAGAATGAGCGAGTAAATAGAGATGCCGGATACCAAAGCAGATGTGACTTCAGTGGCGGGTTCATGGGGGCTATGCCCCCCCCCTCCCAAGTCCTAGAGTTTTTGTTTGTTATATCAAGGTATACCTTCCTTTATTTGGCAAAATTGATTTAAATGCTTTTTTACGTTAGCATTATGTAATTATTAAAATATAATATTGTATAGAATCATATATACATTAGAAATATACTATACAATATAATAAATATGTTTATTTAATACAAATCTATGACCCCTCCCAAATGATCGTCTGGATCCGCCACTGTGTGACTTGATTACTGAGGAATAATGGAAGATACAGATGGAGTAAGCGAAAGCAGTTATATGATTGAATGAAATAGTCGACAGTAAACTTTTCTGACTCTTTGTAATAACTTTCTGTGCTAGCGTATAAGTTTTTTTCACACACCATTCGTTTTACGCTCAATTCCCGTGTTCCTAATCTCTTTTCAAACGGGACTTGACAGACGAATGTCGAACATGAGGCGTTGTGAGAGACCGAAGAATAAAGAGCATTGTGTCGGCTGGCTCAAAGGGGGAAAGTAGTGAAGACCCATTGTTTGAATTGTAGAAACTCCACGGATGTACTCTTTGCCAAACTGCACGATGCAAATTACTTCATCATCCGGGATGCAGATGAGTCCGTAACTTAATCTTCCGGCTGGTTCCTCATATAATTTGCATGCATACCACAAAATATTTACATCACTAAAATGTTATACAATGAAATACTGTCTTATTATTTATGTCTTTACTCTTAGAACAGGTCCCTTAAACATTTTAGACCGTAGAAGTTTTTTTTAAAATCTTCTATTCCATTGAAGAAACTGTTTTCTTCCAACGTCGTTTCGGGAGTTACTGCACCCTGAACTTCAGGACTATTGTGATACGAACTTTTATTCTTAATTACTGAACGTATAATAAAATCTTCAGATTCGTTCTCAATTATTACAATACTAGCATCAAGACTTACCAAGGGATCTGTTCTAATACACTAAAAACCAATTTTGGAAACTAGGCTCGGATGTGTTTGTTTCTAGTTCATCTTGATCGCCGTTATTGTAACTTCAAAGCTGATTTACAATGAAAACTGCTTTGAGGAAGAGAATGTTTGATACGAAGCTAGAGACGTGAATATTCGCGGAAGGGCTATGCGTTGTTTACTCGAATGGGAAACACACTGACAATCTGTTCAATTAGTTTTTGTCGACATCCTCAGGTTTTGTTGAACGGTTTTACAGACGTCTAATCTCACACACGAATGTCACATCTTAATTTTTTAATATTCTGTTTTGAAACACACCAAGGTCTCCAAATTCATGGTTGTCATGCGTGCTTGATAGACACTTTCAGTAGTTAATTATTTAAATGTCTAAATGAGTGAAAATTTGCGTACCATCTTCTACATGCGCAGTTGTTTCTACCCCGTCAAATACTCGTGTGAGATTTCCACTGTTCTTTATTAATGATGGGAATAACTAGCCAATATTATAGTAACTTTTAGTGATCTTAATTCGTTGGTTACTTTTGAAGTCTTAATTTTTGAAGATGGACAGTTATGGTAATTTGGACAGTTATCAGTAAATGGGACAATTATTCATATTGCATTAACAAATGTTGATTGCTAGTCGAGGGCTAGTCTCAAATCTACGATAGAAATTTCATACCTTAGGTGTGCATAAAAGAGAAGATTTCATACTTAATCGTGCGTTAATTAAGTGGTATGAATTACTTATTCTTCGATTTATTTAGAGCTGCAGGTAGTTAGCTGTTACTGTGTCATCCAATCAGAAACTTATACCTCACTACAATGACGTTACTATGGTCCATCCTTCCGATTGGAGGACACCGCAACTGCTGATTTTGTCAGGGGCAGTTGTTGAAATCAAAGTATTGTATAATGCACATTATATTATTGATCTTCAAGGCGAAATACTTCGAAGCAATTCATTTAATTTGTAGAATAATATTTTTGAAGTGAAAGTACTTCCATTTCCAGAAGGGGATAAAAGGGTTCATTGCAGCCATGTTCTTCTTCTCCAAACCGGTTTGAAAAAATAAGTTAAGTTTTAAGAGAAGTAAATTCATATTTGACTATTACACCGTACTCGATGCTTATTCACATTAACCTCCTAGTAAAGATCTACAAGATAAGAAAATCCTAATTTTGCAAAACAGCTCTTAGTTTTTAATTCCTGAAACGTAGACTGTACTAGCTGTAATACTGTACTATTTAATAATATCATTTTGACTCCCTACGACCGTGCACTCCTTCCGAAACTGAATGTCTAGATCCGCCTCTAGTCGCCCCCTTATCTCCCGGAATAAATGTTTGAATATTTTTTATTGAATTTGGACCCATTCCATGTCGATTCTCCGACTTAATCTGATTATCCACTTCTGATCGATCGTTGATCCGAGTCGGAATGTACCAAAACGCAATAGGAACCAAAACGGTTTCGAAGGCATTCGAGTGTTCTGTCGCAGACTGTTGGCCGACATTGCGTGCTCGTGATCTATACCACGAAAATCAGTTTCAATTTTTATTTATTTATTTATTTTTATTTTTTAATTTTTTTTATTAATTTTAATTTTTTTGACTAAGCCAAAGGTGTGTGTACTGTGGGCTTGCATTGCGCATACAATTTTGCGTTTTACTGCTATGTGTAAGTGGCTGGTGTGGGTTCGTGTCTTACCGGCCAATAGGCAAATCGGCTTTTGTGTTACACTACGCCCTTAGAATATCAGAGGGGAGTGCTAGTCTTCTTTGTCCTATTGTAAGGACGTGCCGAGCTAACTGTTTAAGCGTAGCCGGAGCTTCGTCGTTTTGAAAGGCTTGATAAGCTTCGTTAAACGAAAGCCGTCTCAAGCATTGAGTGAAGGACTCGGTATCGAGTTCCTTCCTCAGTACCTTCAACCGTTTCCGAAACGGAGGGCGTGCTATGAGCCGTAGAACTTTGTTCTGTACCAGCTCAAGTGTATCCTTGTACTTCTGTGCTGTAGTCCACCTCGTTGCCGCAGCGTAGGTGGCCACAGACCGACAACACGTTTTATAGAGTGCCAGGCAAAGTTCCAAGGGGAGTGTTCGGAAAGCCAAAATATAAAGACCGAAATATCTGCAAAAAAAGACAACCACGCGGCGTAGCCCAGTCAGCTAGAGTCTACGAGAGCCTACGACTTCCCAAAACAAATATGATCCAACTTTCGGGGACTGAGTCGGAGGACCGACGTATGCGCCGGAAATCGTCGGCGGAAGTGCGTGACCACCCACGCATGTCGATAGGGAGTGTGCGACGCACACCCACGCGCAGCTTCCCCCCCCCCCGACCTAACGTTTACCCTCGATATTTCTTCTCCACAGCTTACCCCCTTCCCAGCTAGAGTAGTCGCTTTACGTGTATTTGTTTTACTTCCAACATCGCTCATTCAAGAACAAGAGAATCGTCGTTAAATGTATATAAATAAAACGTTACAGCATTGCGCCTGTCTGTTTCACGACGGTACCGTTCAACCACAGTATTTACACTGGCACTTTCGTGATATTTCCGCTTATGCGGAACGCTTAAATTATTACCTACGTTAACTTATACGATTCTATGAGTAAAGAAATGGAGAAGTCACAGATTTAATTTTGAACTTAGGCCCTGCCTCTTTGTTGTCAAAAAAGAATATTTTCGTTGAGTGAATATGAGTTCGTCGAATATTAAATTTCACACCTATTGCAGTAAAGGATCCTACAGATACAAATGATTCCAAAGTACTACTCGTACATTCCTCTACGAAGTCTGTCTTTAAACACCTTGCAAGTGGATATTTACATCATGCAGTTTATCTTCTAATGTGAATTTACACTTTAAGATACTTTTACGAAAGAAAAAATTAATGTTGAAACTAGTGATGCTACAGAATGGCACAGACTTTGCCGCATTAGTTTTCTATTTCCTTTTGTCTCCGCTAGCTGTATGAACTTGCCACATATTCTTGCCAACAGCCATATATCGCCGCGCAAAGAACACAGTTTTTTGATATTTTCCTAATTTTTCGGTTTCCTAATTGTAAAAAGGAAATATTATTTTAAGAATATTAAAGACCAGTATAATCTCGTCATTATTGGCAATTTTCTTTCAAAAATTTATATCGTTTTTTAAGAAAATGGAGCTTGAGCCCTACTGTAAATTCAAGATTTAAAGCTCTTTTTCACAAAACAATTTTCAGTTTTCGAAAAACTTCATTAAAAATCATTTGAAGCATTTTAACTCACATTTACAATTACAAATGGCTGGATATGTGCGTGAGAGATCGGCGTGAGAGATAATTTAAAAAAATTACATTTGTGTAATTTTTGAAAAAAAACAAACAATACCTCGAAATGAATTTTACGACATATTAAAGAATGCAATTAGCACTATCGAAAAGTTTGAACTTGGAGCCGTTTTTTGAGAAAATGGTGATTGAGCGTTTCTGAAAATTCGGAAATTTGAGCTATTTTTTACAGAAAACGGCTGAGTTTTCGAGAAACTTTATATGACATTATTTAAAGCACATGTACTCTTAAAGACAATTATGTGAACTAATTGCCGCTAGAATTAATATTAACAACGGGAGAGACAAGTAAAACAATCTTACTTTTACAAGAAATTTAAAGAAAAAATCTGGAGTAGTTTTTGAGAAAATTTTGAAAATGTCCGGAGGGCTTCATGTAAATTACGCCCCTCTCCCCCAAAAAAATTCTACGCATGGTTTAGATTCTAGTAGTGTTCACGGACGGGCGCTTTACCGTCAATTGATTTTTCAGTATCAAAACATGGATTCTGGCTACACCACGTGTTACAGGATTTTGTTTTCTTCATTTAGCAACTGGATTTATTCACTTTTTCGCTATCAGGGCATAGCAATGCTTTTTTCTGTCGTCAATCCTCCGTTATTTGCACAGCTTTACATAACTTTCCATGTACTACGTATGTAACTCCATATGAGTACGGGAAAGTAAAAGTACGGTAATACCGAGGTATAAAAATGTTTTAGTGTATATAAAGCCCTAATACATTTTCCTTATCAATGCAAGGCAATTCAATCTCTGTTCTTAAAGAACTAATGTATTCCACGAACGAACATAACTGGTTTTCTGATGATAAGCCTCTTGTTTTTTAGTCTTTAGATAATGTTTTATTTGTCAAAATGTTTTTAAAATTAAAGAAAAAAATGGAGGAGTTACAGAATTATATTAGGTATATAAATATGTCTTAAATAGTAATTGTGTGTTGAAATCACATTTTCTCATTCCAGATTACCATGGATAAACAGAAAGTTTGGGTGCCAGACCCTGTTGAAGGGTTTTTACTCGGCAAAATTATTGACCTTGGACATGATGGCGAAGCAACAGTCCAGTCATTGAATGGGAAGCAGCTGAAAAAGAATGTCAGCCTAGAACAAGTGCACTATGCAGAATTAGATGATAACAAGGATGTGGAAGATAACTGTAAGTCGGTACTTTCCTATTTTTTTATAAAATTTGTTTTCTGTAAACTCGGGTTTAAAAATATAAATGTTAATGGCTAATAGTAATTAATTTACAAAAAAAAAAAAAAAAAAAAAAAAAAA